TATATATATATATATATATATATATATATATATATATATTGCCTTAATGTAAGAGTGACCTCATAAGGGCGTCTAGCTCAAATGGTAGAGCGCTCGCTTAGCATGCGAGAGGTAGGGGGATCGATACCCTCGTCGTCCATTCTTTTCTCCCTTTCTTTATTTATATATGAATGCGTCTGTGCATGCATGTACACTCTAGATGTGCTTTTTTTAGGTGTATATACACCTCAAAGGAATATAAAGCATCATTTTGCAGGAGTGTAGATACACTAATTTATTGCATGCAACAATTATTCGTAATCAGCAGCAGCAATAAAAGGAAATAATCTAAGCAAATATATTAATATTTATAAAAAGACAAAAATGATGTTTTTTTGTTGTGTTTATTGTTGCAACTGATGCAGAGATATTCGGGTGTATAGGCACCTCAATACTCCCGTAAAGATACGACCCTTAACAGATGCAACAAAATGCCGTCATTTAATTATCTGTATAATAATTATTATTATTTATCTTTAATTTAATTATAATTATAATTATAATTGGTGAAAGAACATCCAAAGGCACTGCCATGGTGTCCGTACACCCCAATATATAATATTATATGCACAGCAACTCATTAGCTGCCTATACACCTCAAGTCTCCCGACGGCAGCTGCTGCTAACTGGAAGATCTCCAGCTGTCTGCACAACATTATAAACCGGTATTTCTCGGCTGCAGCACAAATGCACAGATAAGAAGCAAAACTGTAGGGTTTAGGGTCTACACAGAGGGTTTAGCGTTTACAACGAGGGTTTAGGGTTTAGGGTTTGTGGCCGTGCTTACCTTGGGGGAGTTCGATTCTTTATAAAGCTGTCAGTCAGCCAATACTGCAGAGAGTTCATTACAAGAGGCGTAGCCACCATCACGACAAACTGCAACACAAACCCTAAACCCTAAACCATAAACCCTAAATGACTAAGACAGCGATAGCAGCAAATAAACTCTGGCCTCTATCCTAAACCCTAAACCCTAAGCCCTAAACACTAAACAGGTAGTACTGCACCCACCAGCTTTGCATTTGGATTGGTGTCCAAGGAAGCCCTGCAGAATCAAAACCCCTAAACCCTAAACCCTAAACCCTAAGCATTAAATCGTAAACCCCCCATGTAATATTTGCTGTCTTTGCTGTATTCAAATCCATCTGCATATACATGGAGACGGCATACTAATTTCTGTTAAAAGGGTTTACAAATGAGGGTTTAGGGTTTAGGGTTTAGGGTTTTCTTACAGTAGAGCGCTGCCGATAAAAACTGCACCAAACAACACAGACAGAGCAAACAGCACCAGACTCTTTTGTGCTGTCTTTCCGTCTATAAACCCTAAACCCTAAACCCTAAACCCTAAACCCTCGAGATATATACCTAGAGGTCCTTGAAGAGCCAACATGAATGCCCCTGCAGAAATTTTCATTAAAAGACAAAAAATTTGCCAAGACATCAATTGGGCAAAACAAGCAGCATAACGAGGAGGAGATCCATAAGATCCATACTCCTGCGTATACACCACAACAACACCATAATAAACCCTAAACCCTAAACCCTAAACCCTTAACCCTAAAGTATTATCATAGGTAAGGGAATGAAAGAAGAACTCCGAGAAATGCTGCCCTAATCAAAACAAACTCGAAACCTTATACCCCGAAAAACCCTAAACCCTAAACCCCAAACCCTAAACCCTAAACCCTAAACCCTAGAATGGAAACCCTACCAAGCAAGGTGCTCCCTTCAGAAGGCGACGAGCACCGCGAAGGAGAATGTATTGAACGTAAACACCTGAAGAAGCAAAACCCTAAAGTCGACGTATATAAGTGTTTGCTGCCAAACCCTAAACCCTTAAAAGGTGGGGTTGTTACACGTGAACACACACGCGGTGTCTGTACAGTCAGCTTGGGTGAGTTATTAGGGTTTACGATATAGGATAGGGGTTTATGAGCTAGGGTTGGGGTTTAAGAAGTCGGATTAGGGTTCAGGGTTAAGGGCTAGGGTTTAGGGTTTAGGGTTTAGGGTTTACCAAATGTTGTATCCACAACGATGTTGATCCAATACCAAACACAAACATCTTCTTCAAAAGCAGCAGCCAGTAAACCCGCACCGCCAAGATTCACTGTACGCGCAAACCCTAAACCCTAAACCCTAAACCCTAAACCCTAAAGCCTACGGATTAAAACCCGGATGATGGCTTGGCTGGAGACTAGGTTGTGAACCGGGTATGCTGTAAACTAAACACCTCAACCCAGCCTAAACCCTAAAATCCCAAACCCTAAACCCTAAACCCTAAACCCTAAACCCTAAATGTCTTGTGAGGAGCTGACGCATGTGAACAAAGAAGGCGCCCGATGCCTGTTTAGAGCAGTCGAACAAAAACACTTTCCATGGTCTCCTCGGTCGTTCCTGAGCAGCCGCAAGGGTTTAGGGTTTAGGGTTTAGGGTTTTCTTATTGTTTATCTTCTTCGGGAGTGAGATTGGAGACATGCAAAAATAAGGGTTTAGGGTTTAGGGTTTAGGGTTTGAGATGTACTCGCCAGCGCTTCGCTAAGAGAGACACAAAGGAGAGGATCCCTAGAATACCCTGCAACCACCACCTGTAGCATACAACAAGCCAAAACCCTAAACCCTAAACCCTAAACCCTAAATCCCAACCCTTACACACTAAACCCTAAACCCTAGAAATGCGCATTCTGCAGTGGCAAGCAAACAGATAAATGAGTGTTCTGTAGGGTTTAGTGTTAATTTTAAGGGTCTTATTTCTTCTTTTAAGGGTTTTTTATATTTTTTTATATTTATTTATATTTATTTATATTTATTTATATTTATTTATATTTATATTTATTAATAAACTTACCCAAAGCCACCAAACTCCCCTAGGAGTTCGCAGGTTTGTTCTCCAGGAGGAATACCCGAAATATTGGCATTTTCCATTTTGAATATTGTGGTGTACGTACACCTTAAAAAAAGAATATAATTTATATTTAAATATTCATTTTAATTGTAATAATTATATCATTATATATATTTATTTATTAATTTAATTTTTTTCTTGTTTATATTCAATATTCACTTCCTTCGTGATCGTTTTCCTCTCGTGAGCCAAAGAAACAAGAGTTGAGGGTTTAGAGGAAAGGAATACGAATTAGGGTTTAGGGTTTCGCGTTTAGGATGGTTTAGGGTTTAGGGTTTAGCGGTATTCCTTCGTTGAAGGCTCAAAAACCCTCGAGGTAAGCAGCGATGCATCAGCAAACCCTCGCAAGATTGTATTCAATATTGAGCATTTATACTTTAATGTCTGAATAATATTTTATTTTTTATTTTTTATTTAATTTATTTTACATAAAAGGGAATTTAATATCCATTTTCATGCCTTCTTCTGCGTGAATTCATTGGCCCTGGTGACGCTCACAGTGTGTAAATGACTGCATGCATGCAGCCCCTTAAAGTGACCGATAGATTCAAAAGAAGAAGAATATAAATTTATTTTTATTTAATATTTAAATAAAAAACATTTACCTCTTCATTTAAGTATTTGTTGTTTTGTTGGTGATGTTAATTTTCACTAGATCAGAGTGTACCTACACCTCAAGAGTGGCACAATTCACACATACAATAACGAAACCAGCAACTCTTCTTTATTATTTTTACAATTCCCTTCTCTTTTCTTCTTTATAAATTGTTCCTTTATTTTTATATCCATCTTCTGCTCTTTTTTATGCTCTATTTCCCCTTACACACAGCGTATAGCCACACACTTTTGCTTATTAAGTTTATATATATACATATATATACATTTTGCATGCATTATTATTTAAATTCTTATTCTTCTTCTTTATTTATTTAATTAAAAAGAAATAAAGTATTTATTGGTGTTTATTTCTTTGTTTCTCCCTCTTGAGGTATATGTGCACAGACACCTCACAATTTTCTTCCAATAAAGAAAATATTTTTTTCTTATAGACAATTTAACACTCAACAATAACAGCAGCGAGCCCTATTTCTGCTGCTGCTGCTGCTGTTGCTGTTGCTGCTGCTGCTGCTGCTGCGTGGGTCCATTATTAAATTCTTGTGCTATATGCCTTTGTCTCACTAGGGACAAGTGAATTACCTGTTAAGTGTATTTATTTTTGCTGCTGCTGTCCTTGCATGCAGAATTCAGCAACAGCAGCAGCAGCAGCAGCACAGAATCCAAAACAATATATAATTATATTCTTTTAAATTAACAAATAAAGAGAGCATGTTGGTACGATACAAAGGCAGCAGGCAGCGACTATAGCAGCTGCCTGTACACCCGAAAAAGAGCTATTTTTATAATTCATGTTTTTATTATTATTTCTTCATCTTCGGGTGTATATGCAGTTCTTTATATGCATGCAAACAAAGTATTTATTTATATTTAGTAACATTCCTCCTTTAATGAACTTCTTTATTTTCTTATATGCAAAGAATATACAGAAAACAAGAATGCATTATATTGTATTAAATATTATTCATAATTCTTTTTATTTATTCCTTTTTTTCCTTCACCAAGCATTTGCTGCTCCTGCTTTTCCTGCTGCCTTTGCTGGTGCCTACTGCTACCGTTGCTGCAGCAGCTATGCTGCAGCAGCTAATGCCCGGCATAGAGCAGCACATGCAGACACGAACAGCCCCTCTTTGTTGCATGAAAACACGAAAGTTGCTATTAAGATGCACTATACTTCCTGATGTCTGCTGCGTACTGTGACTAACAAGAGGGCTAAAGGAATTTTATACCTTAGGAGTTTAGTTAACTATACAAAAACAAACAAAATGAAAGGAAGACGAATTAATAAACTAATCTGCAATTACAAAGTAAATAATTAACGTTATTAATACAGTATTTACGTCAATGCAAAGAACCTGGCTCCACATAACGCTACAGGGATGGCGACGCCCTTGAAAACAAGGCCATTGCTGCATTATTTCTTTAATTTTAAATTAATTAAATATTTTTTTAACAATAATTAAAATATTCAATTGAAATATTTCATTTGCTGCTCCTGAAGGAAGCCGGACTTCTTAAGTGTCTGTACACCTTGTGCAACCGCTAGGAAGTCGGCAGAGAGTGACCACTGGGCAGAGCCCTCAGAAGTGTTATTTTGTTTCTTTTCTGTTTGTGTTTCTTGAAATATGTTTTGTAATTAAATAATAATGTACATTTCACGAAAACATTTAACATTTATTCACCGCAGCCTCAGGTGTACGTACACCTGAGCATTTCAACTGTCTGCCGGTGTTGGCGGCTGCACAAGAAGTTTCTGTCATTTCTTCTTCGCTTCTTCTTTAAGAAGATTACTCAATACTTTTATTCTTTGTTTCGCCTTTATATATTTGACATTTGTGATCATAAAGTATCTTTTGTCGCTTGTTTCCTCCTTCAGTTCAAGACGCACTTGCTAAAGGAGAGTTTCCTCTTCGCTGCCTTTTGTCATTCCTTGTCATGCATTTGCCGCCTTTTATATTTCTCTTCTTTTAAACCAAAGTCTTTTCTGTGTCATTTGCAGCTATAATAAAGATAACCTATTTGTATCTAATCAGTGTAAGTTTCCCCTTCTTCTCACCATAAACCCTAAACGCTAAACCCTAAATCCTAGACCCCCTCCTGCAAGAGGCTGACGATGGGCTGTATCCAATCTAAGAAAAGAGAAAGAAGATGCACTCAACTAGGCAGCGGGGATTCCTCTCTGCCTCATTTGCAGAGGCATAAGGAGCGTTGTATTTCACGGGCAGCAGCAGCAGCTGCTGCTGCTGCAGCAGCAGCTGCTGCTGCAGCTGGTGTTGATGGTGGCGCTGCATCTGCTGCACCATCACCTGCACTCAAGCCGACTACTACTACTGCTGCTGCTGCTTCTCCCCCTAGCGGCACAGGCAGCGAGACGCAGCAAGGGCCCCTTGAGTCGTTTGGCTCTCCTGAGGAGACAGTCTTTAGTTGCTATAGTCCTCCTACATCTGTACCACAGAGAGATGCAGCAGCAGTTGCTGCTGCTGCTGCAGCTGCTGCTGCTGCCGCTGCAGTTGCTACTGCAACGGAGGCAGCACCATTTGTTGCTGCTGATGCTGCAGCAGAAGGAACAGAGCTAGCAGCAGCAGAAGTGCAGCAGCAGCTAAAAGGATGGCCTGAGGAAGACGAAGAAGAAGAAACAGACAAAGAAAACGGCAAAGAAGAAACGCAGAAGGAGATGCAGCAGCAACCGCAGCAGCAGCAGCAGCATGAGCAGCAGCTGCAAATAAACAGCCAACAGAACAGCGATTCTCCAGACCACCTGCAGCTGCAGCAGCAGGAACAGCAGGAACAGCAACAGAAGCAGCAACAAAGACAGAAGCAAAGAGATATTATTATCCCTATGCGCAGCAACGACTTCTATTCTTACCGCCAAGCCTCTCGTGTCTCCTCCCCTAGTACAGTTAAGCAGCATCAGCAGCACCGGCAGCAGCACCTGCAGCAGCAGCAGCGGCAGCAGCAGCAGCGGCTGTTCCAGCAGCAGCTGCAGCAGCGAGATAAGAGAGGGCTGTCTGTAGAAACTCTTGCATGCGTAAGAAGAGGGTTCGATGCATGCGTTCTTAGAGACACTAATGCAGCAGAACAAGAACTACTGTAAGCTGCTGCTGCTGCTGTTGCTGCTGCTGTTGCTACTGTTGTTGCTGTTGTTGCTTTTGCTGCTGGTGCCGTGGATGTTGCTGCCGCTGTTGTTGCTGCTGCTGCGGACATCGAGTTTGCTGCTGCACGCTCCGTTGCTGTTCAATTTTGCTGCTGTTGCTGCTGCTATCCGTGCTGCTGTTTGTGCTGCTGTTGCTGCTGCAGCAAGGCAGAAAATCTGCTTGCTGTACTACGTTGCGGTCGCGCAAGGGAGCCCACGACCTTTAGCTTTGCTCGCAGCAGCTGCCGCAGCAGCAGCAATCGCAACAGCAACAGGAGCAGCAGCAGCAACAGCAGCAGCAGCAGCAGATTGGATCCAATGGAGTTAGATATAGAAAGACGTATAATGAGTTTAAGGGAAACCCTAACAAATATACAAAAAGGGTTTATGAGTGCAGAGGAGCTAAGAAGTATTTATTATTATTCCCCTGCTGCTCCTCTCTCTCCCCCTGCTGCTGCTGCAGCTGCTGCTGCAGCTGCTGCTGCAGCAGCTGCTGCTGCTGCGGCAGATAGACAAAATGTCATCATTCCAAAGCCATACACACATATCAAGAAACAGCTCACTGCTTAAACCCTAAACCCTAAACCCTAAACCCTCAGTGTCTGCAGCTGCGGAGATCGCCTGCTCTCTGCTGCAGGTGCCTCATCTCTCTTGTGCTGCTGTTGCAGTAGCAGCAGAAGCAGCAGCAGATGCTGCTGCTGCAACTGTTGCAGCTGCTGCTGAATCCGCTGGTCTTGAAAGACTGCTGCGGATTCAGCCCAACTAAATACATTTGCTGCTGCAGTGCAAGCAGCAATAGCAGCAGCAGCAGGGGCAGGGGCAGCAGCACTAGCAGTTGCTGCTACTGCTACTGTGCTCCTCAGGTCCTACTGGCTGCTGCACAGGTATTATCCTTATCACAGTCTCTAGGGTTTAGGGTTTAGGGTTTAGGGTTTGCTGCCTGTACTCCTAAACCCTCACGCCATCTTCTGCAAATGTTTTCTCTCATTACAGCAGCAAATTAGATAGCCAGCTGGGGGAGATATACTCTAGGTAGAGCTAGCTAGCTAGCTAGCTAGCTAGCTAGTTAAGGACATACCTAGCTAGCTGAGAGGCTTCCTAGCTAGCTAGCTAGCTAGCCAGGAAGTTATTCAAATAGACGACTAGCCAGAGGGTTGGGTAGCCAATTTTTGTATACAATTGAAGGTACAACAGTTGTACAATTGGAGAAATATCTGCCTAGCTAGCTAGCTAGCTAGCTAGCTAGCTAAAGTTAGCTAGCTGCCGAGCTGGCTGTCTAGCTGCGTAGCTGGCTGTCTAATTGCTTAGCTAGCTGCTTGGCCAGCATGCTATCTAGCTAGCTGCATTGATAGGTAGCTAGCTGCATTGGTAGCTAGCTAGCTAGCTAGCTAGGCGAGAACACGCCCACAAGCACGCCATTGTTGCTGCAGTAGCAGGTAAGCTATAGGCTAGCAGGCAGTTAGCTCGAGCTGCAGCAGCAGGAGCAGCAGCAGCCACAACGAGGACTGCAGCTCCTGCCGCTGCTGCTGCAGCAGATAATAAATGCTATTGCTCCTGCTGCTGCTGCCACTGCTGCTGCTGCTTATGCTGAAGCCAGTGGGGGGCTGCCGCTGCTGATTCTGCTGCTATTGCTGCCACTGATACTGTCGCTGCTGCCCCTGCTGCTGCTGCTACTGCTGCTGCTGTGGAGGCTCTGCAGCAAATCCTCAATCTGGTCTTGGCTTTGCTGCAGCAAAAGTTCTCCCTCCCTTCTGTACTTGCTGCAGCACCAACAAGTTAGCTGCCTGCTGTTGTTGCTGCTGCTGTTCTGCTGGTGCACTCTGCTACAGCTGCAGCAGCAGTATTATCAACAGCATCAGCTACTACTACTACTACTACTACTACTGCAGCAGCAGCAGCAGCAGCAGCAGCAGCAGCAGCAGCAGCTACTCGTCATCCTCATCTTGTAAAGTTTGCAGCAACAACTTGCTTTGCTGGAATTCATTATAGTGCTGCTTCCTCTTCTCCTTAAAATCTTTCTTGTGCTGCTGCTGCTGCTCCATCACCTCCGTGTCGTGCTGCAGCTGCTGCAGACGAGAAGCAAGCTCCTGGGGATCTACTGCATGCGGCTGCAGCACAACAATAACAGCAGCAGCAGCAGCAGCAGGAATACACAGAGAGATAGTATGCAAGCAGTAGCAGCTATATTGCTGGAGCAACAACAATATCAGCAGCAGCAGCAGCAGCATAGAGGCAATAGAGTAACCCTGGAGGCAAGTCTAGGGAGCACAGCAGCAGCAGCAGCAGCAGCTGTAGCAGCACCAGCAGCAGCAGCAGCAGCAGCAGCAGCATACCACGTCCTCGTCATCTTCCACCCCGTCAATCTGCAGCAACAGCAGCAGCAAAAGCAGCAACAAACGAAACACTCAAAAGGCGCACAGAGGGAGGAGCATCTGTACAGACGCAGCAGCAGCTGCTGCTGCTGTTGTTGCTGCTGCTGCATGCATGCATGCATTTACCCTTTCTCTATTATATGGTGTCTTGGGTTCTGTTATCTTCTCTCTTGTTCCTCGCAGTAAGTCATGCTCAGCTATCACCTCCTCGTCCCAGCTTACACCTCCCACGCTGCAGCAGCAGCAGCAGCAGCAGCAGCAGCAATAGCAGCAACGTCAGCAGTAGGACCAGGAGCAGACGTAGGAGGAGGAGCAGCAGCAGGAGCAGAAGAAGAAGCAACAGCAGAAGCAGCAAAATGCAAGAAGCAGCAGCTATACCGAATCAAGTAGCAGCACCAGCACCAGCAGCAGAGGCAGCAGATGCAGCAGCAGAAGTAGCACATACATCAGCAGCAGCAAGAATAACATCTGCAGCAGCAACAGTGTATGCAGCAGCAGCAGAAGAAGCAACATAAACAGCAGCAGCACGTGCAGCAGCAGCAACAGCAAAAGAAAGTGCGGCAGTGCAGCAAAAGAGAGCGGCCTTCTATAGCATCTGAACAAACTGATGCTGGGGCAGCAGCAGCAGCAGCAAGATGGCAGCAGCAAGGCAACAGCAGCAGCAGTAAGGCAGCTGCAGCAGCAGCAATGCAGCAGCAACTAACTGTTTTTGTCCCGAGTGTCCCTTTACAAGGATTCCCATAGGCTGGGCAGGAAGAGGAGGAGTAGGCCTACTCATCTCTTTACTCATTGCTGCTGCTGCTGCTCCTCCTCCTCGTGCTGCTGCTGCTGTCGCTGCTGCTGCAGGTGTATCGGCTACAGCCAATGGCAGTATCTGCTGGGATGCGGTTGCGGCTGCTGCTGCTCCTCCTCCTGCTCCTGCTGCAGCGGCTCCTCTCC